TACTAGAATTCACCTAAACCTTTAAATTAAGTGTTATAGTGAATAAGAATCATACTTTCATAAAGTAAAATTCACAACTTCAGTTAATAAATAGTATGTAAAATATATTTATACTGCCATTTATACTGCCTCATTTTCTTTTTTATATGAAATATACTGAAAACCACAAAAAAGGTGTAAAAAAACCCACCCATAATCACTGCATAAAAATTATATACTGATCTTGTAAGGCTAATATAACATAGTACATTTTACTAAACAATTTAAAATTTGAGTTTTCTGTAATTACTTGCAGCAATACATAGGTATAATTTGTTCCTTTCCTTCCTTCATTATGCTTATTTATTCATTTATGTATTTTGCTAGGCACAAAAAGCAGTAAGATGGCAAATCTCTGCCCTCAAGGCATTCATAATTTTGAGGAAGGCAGTAAATAAACAGTTAAAATATTAATCAGTGGCATAATAAAGGTATGCATGAAATGCACAAGGTATTATGGGGTACAAAAGAAAGAGCCCATGAAACTGCCTGGTTAAGACAAAGAAGGCTCCACAGAAGAAGTGATAAATTAGCTCTCTTCACAGACAAGGGAGGAAAGGCATTTCAGGCAGGCGAACTGACATATGCCAAAGCATGGAATCAGGCTTAGCATGTTTGGGAACCTGCACATTGTTCAGGATGTTTAGAACTCAAGGTATGTATGAAGAAGTTATAGGAGAGGATGTCAACAGAACAGACCAATACGATGAAAAGCTTTGAATGCCAGGCTAAGAAATTTGGAGATACACTCTATCTTTTGAAATATTTTGTGAACAGAAAAGACAAAGACAACTACAGCAGTATTGTGAATGAGACTAGGATAGAAGAAAGAAGGCTACTGCAATACCTCAGGAGAGAAACAATACTAAGGAAAAAGCAAAGAGATACAGAAGTAAGGATAAATTCCATTTAATCCAGGACTTTGTAAATAATTAGATGTTGGTACAAATGAACTTATTTACAAAACAGAAATAGAGTCACAGATGTAGAAAACAATCTTACGGTTACCAAGAGGGAAAGAGGAGGAGGGATAAATTGGGAGATTGGGATTGACATATACACACTACTATACATAAAACAGATAACTAATAAGGACTTACTGTATAACACAGGGAACTCTACTCAATACTATAAGTGGATATATGTGTATGTATAACTGATTCACTGTGCTGTACAGCAGAAAGTAACACAACATTGTAAGTCAACTATACTCCAATTAAAAAAAATACTGAGCCACTGAATCAAAAAAATAATAGCCATGACTCCAAACACATGCACACACACACACCTGAAGCACAAGTTTCACAAATAATACTTACACTCATTATGCACTATTTATTCTAATATTTTTTCTATTCTTTTCATTAAAAAAGACAGACACAACAAAATTAATTTCAAGACATATCAATGAAAATAAATAGAATGTAGGGTGGAAAAATAAAACTCAATCATTTCAATAAAGACAGAAAAGGTAACGTTCAACTAACTGTATGTGTTTACAGACACACATTGAAAAATTGGAAGAGAAAAGTGTATTAGTCAAATACTGAAAAATGAAAGCTAGTACAGCTATCTTAATGTCAGATAAATAGATTTTAAGGCAAAAAACATTAGAGATAAAGGTCACTATATCATGATAAAAAGGGATACTTCACCAGAAGACATAACCATTCTAAATTAATATAGCCTTAATAACATTGCCTCAAAATATTTTCAGCAAAAATTAACAGAAATTGTGATATTAAAGATCCAAAAACAGTGAGAAATTTTGACATAACTCTTCAGTTATTGATAAATCAAGAAGATTGAAAATTAGTAAGGATATGTAAGATTTGAACAGCACATTAATAAGAAGCTTGATCCTAGGTACATATATAAAACCCTACATCTGTCAATTAAAGAATATACATTCTTCTCTAGGAGACACAGACCATTTAAAATACTGTACATGAACCAGGCTCCAGAGCAAATCTCAACAAACACTAACGAACTGATGTCACGTATTCCTCAACTTTAAAATATTAGCTTAAAAAAAGAAAATCACTGTGCTAAATCACCAAATAAAGAAAATAGGTAAGAAAAATGAGAGGAGGTTGGTTTGAAAGAAAGTCCAAAGAGGCTCTAGAAAGCTCTCTCTTCCTGCCATGTATGGCATAATCTTCCATATTTTTGCATGTGTTTTTTACAACGCTTTAAAAAGCAAGAAAAATACTCTTAGCTTGAGGGTCATACAAAAACGATCTGGTCTGTGGTTTGTAATTTGCTTACATCTAGAAGAAGGTACTCCTCATTCTGTCATATGTTGTCTCTGCAGTCTGATAGCTGGCTCCTTACTAGCTCTTCCAGAAAATAAATCTGCCAGTCAAAAGTTCTACCCAGGTACATCTGCAAACCAGAAAGCAGGCACTCACCAGAACCCAACCAGGCTGGCACCCTAATCTCAGACTTCTGGCCTTTAGAACTGTGAGAAATAAATTTCTGTTGTTTAGAAGCCACCCAGTCTATGATATTTTGCTATAGTAGCCTGAACTAAGACCCTAGATTTCTTCCCATTACAATGATTCTCCAAATTTCAGTACTCTGAACTCTTTCTTTCAACTTATTCACTGCAGCATAACAGACATTTATTTAGTATACAGACAAGTATTAAGTACACAGCTAAATAGAACACATACTCTGACTACCATGCAATTAAATTAGATATAAATCTTAAAGTATAACCAAAAAAAAAAACCCCATACATTAAAGAAGAAATCATGATGGAAAAAATTTTAAACTCAGTACTGAACAACAGGCTATAAAATCTGTAGGAAGGAGTTAAAATGTATTTGGAAATTTTTAACATTAAATACTGTCTGTTAAAAAGAAGGCTAAAGATCAATGAACTGAAGACCAAAGTTAAGGACTCACAATGCCTGACTTCACTTATTATAAAGCTACAGTTATTGGGACTATTTGTTATTGGTAAAAGACAGAAATACAGATCAGTGATTTAGAATAGCCCAGAAGTAGACCCACACATATATGGTCAATTAATTTTTGACAAAGATGCAAAGGCAATTCAACGGAGAAAGGATAGCCTTTTCACCCATATAGCTACACCAAGATCAAGATACAAAATGTTACTATTTTTTAATTATTAAATTTATTTTTTCTGGTAAGCATTTTGGTTTTGTTCTATGAATGTCACATGTCATATCCCCTTATAAAGAATCCAGAATGAATATATCATAAGATTAAGTGAACCCTGGGAGTTGCACTCAAAGACCATTTCTTTAATTTTTTCCTAGTTGTATGACTTCTGGCAAGTCAGTTAATTTTTCATTTTCCCTTTATTTTTCTATTTCCTTAGGTTTCCTCTCCCCCTTTTCTCTAAGGTTTTTCTGAGAATGAAACATGAAAATGTAAATAAAGAATATGGTCAGTAAAGAAATTTGGGGGGATAATGGAAATGTTCTGTATTTTGTGGTGGTGGTGGTTTCACAGGTATAAACATTTGTCAAAATTCATCAGTTATGCACTTAAAATGAATGTAGGGACTTCCCTGGTGGCGCAGTGGTTAAGAATCCGCCTACCAATGCAGGGGACATGGGTTCGAGCCCTGGTCCAGGAAGATCCCACATGCCGCAGAGCAACTAAGCCCGTCCGCCACAACTACTGAGCCTGTGCTCTAGAGCCCGTGAGCCACAACTACTGAGCCCACGAGCCACAACTACTGAAGCCTGTGCGCCTAGAGCCAGTGCTCTGCAACAAGAGAAGCCACTGCAATGAGAAGCCCATGCACCGCAACGAAGAGTAGCCCCCGCTTGCCAGAACTAGAGACAGCCAGTGCATAGCAACAAAGACCCAATGCAGCCATAAATAAATAAATAAATTAATTAAAAATGAATGTAGTTTGTCATACATAAATTATATCTCAGTAAATGGATTTAAAAATGTAAAATAATGTAGAAGCTCCTGGTGGGTGAGAAATAATTGCTAATTTGTTCCTTTATCCCCTTCCTTTTTTACCTGAGAGGAAAAAATGCCTATTTTTAAAAACAGTCACTCACTATTCCCTCCATGAAAACTTCTAAAAACATCCTGAGATAATTATAAGGTTATTTCTCTGCCTCTCCTCCTCCACACTAAATCCCGGTACCTTTCATTTTTCCTGTGAATTTTACTTTCCTATCCTTTAGTAAGATCTTAAATCTAGATTCTATACCTCTCACATTTCAGTTAAGTAACAAAAACAGAGTAATTGATGCACATGCTACAAAGTATCTTTAGATGTTAGCTCTGCTAAAATCTGTGGACATTATTGGTAGTGCTGTTTTTCATTCACATATTAAAAGAGGTTTATTATAACCCCCTTAGACCCTGTTCAACCAAACTCACACGAAGCCAGCTACACACGTACTATTTTCAAGTCTTTTATTGATCACTGGCTATAACGATACTCCTAAAGTGAATAATATTATTTTAAAACAATAATGGCTAAGATACCCTTCTTTTTAAAATTTGCTGCTACCATTAGAAAAACTTAACTCTTCATTTTCTTTTTAATATATCAAATGAAGTTTTGGTACCAACACAGTTATCATGTATTCTAAATCAAAGCAAAATATCTCATGTTGCTTTTCTTACATTAGTGAATTCTATAGCTGTTTTGACAGTAATAAGTATAGACTGTCTTCCCTAAATTGCTAAAATCATAGAGCATTCACTAAAATGGATTAAAAAATCTGAATAGGCTTGAAGCTACCACTACCAGTTTTCAAAATAAACACTTTTGAGATTGTGATTTGCCACTTTGCTTTGTTTTTATTTTAAAACCATAATTTTGTTCTACATAAATATGAAGATTGTTCCTCACACTTTTTCATCTTATACCCTTTGTTCAATATTTATCACTTCTCAAAGAAGTTAGTAGATGATAAAAAATAAAATCACCCTCTCCCCCAGTCCATTTCACTCACCTACAAAATGGGCTGGGAATAGTAGGTATCACATAACAAATCCCTCCATTCAGGCAAAATGACCTATGACTGGGACCACAGGGCTCTTCATGATCTAAAACATATACATAAATAAAATAGAGAAAAACAAATTATAGTTTTTCTAATAAAATAAGGAAAAGGACCAAGTATCTTATACTGAAGTAGTAATTCTAAAAATTAGAATGAAGAATTGTTTCTTAAAATGAAGGACTTAATCTTATTCCTTCTTTGATAAGCAGGGACTTCTATCCCTTTGAGGAAAAAAATTAATCTGTCTTGAAGATATGGTCATTAATTATGATGGAGTTAAAAGCTATATTACAGAAATAGGGAATCTCTATAATAGATTAAAAGGAGGACATTATGATCTTAAAATAAATAGTGGCTTTTCTCATTTAGTACATAGATTCTGGAGCTTTGCTTAGAGTTTTTCTGTCCCAAGTGTATATTTAGATTCCTATCTTTCCTTTAAGGTCTCAAATACATTAAAGTCTGAAATTGTTGTGGGAAAAAAATTAGATTATTAAATAAATTCTGATGTCCAAAATCATCTTTAAATATTTCTACATATGACAATTTTAACATCAAAAAAACAAAAAATAATCTTATTAGGTTTTGGTTTGCAAGGGAATTTTAGGTAATAACTAGTAACTATTGAAAACCTAAGTCATCATCTGATAAATAGCAAAAATTTTCATAATATTAAGAAAATAAACCTCCATTTCTCTCTTGCTTCCTTTCTCTCCTCCTCTTTCTCCATCCTTTCTTCCTCCTTTATCTTTGACCTTTCCTTTATGTTCTTTCTCTCTTTGCCTTCCCTTTCTCTCTTGGTACCTCTCCTTCCTTCCAGCCTCTACCTCCTCCTCCACCATCAAAAAAAAAAATCCCACCAAAACCATCAGACAGAAGAATTTAGAATTAACATAGTAGAATTCATTGAGTAATTATACTACTGTATACTACTATTTATGATTAGAAAAGCAAATTGCTGAATGATTTATCTTTTGGTCCTGAAGGGGGAATCACATTGCTTTAAAATCGTACATTGTTGGTTCCTGATTGGTTCTGTCCAGAAAGTGACATAGAATCTATTGTGAAGAAGAAAATGGCATTATTCCAATTTAGCATTTAAAAAAATAGCATACTAATTTTAAAAAGTTATCTAGCATTTATTTGCCACTAAGATATCAATACCCTTAAGATATAACTGCTGTAGAACCAGATGTCTTCACTATCAGAATTTGAAATTTTAAAACTTTCCTTTTGCTTTAGAAGTGAGAAGATTCTGTTTCACCATCACATTACAATTATAAAAGTATAAAAATGTAAAGAGGAAAACAGAACTATAAAGAATTTAAGTGGAAAAGAAGAAAGTAAACCAACCAGAACTAATCTTTTAGATTTTTTTCTTTTTTACACAATGTCATGCTTCTTTACAACCAAACAACTTTTAATAAGATAATTCTTACAACTCTTCAGGAATAATTTGGCTAACAAATAAAATCCCAGTTGACATTACATTATGCTAGAATCATGGAAGTCATCACATAGGGTTTCTCCACTGAGGGTGGAGTGTCAACTTTATCACAGAATGCTTCCTGTGGCTGAAATTAATGTCCTTGTTTTTAATAAGATTACAACCAGTCCTGACTCAGCACTTGCTGTTTTGTCAGTAAAGAATACTCATCTAACCTGAATCACTATCTCTGAATCTATTTTTATTCTGATTTCATTTACTTATTTGTAAAGTTGTTATCAGATTTAGAGTAAGCCAGAATTTGTCAGTTTGTAAAAAGTGATAAAATATAGGTCTAAAATAAAATAGTTTCATGTTATAAAGGAAGGTCTTTCAAAACCAAGGTATTCCATATTTCTAGGACAATTTTAGATGGAGAAAAATATAGTCTTGTGTTAATATACATTTGTTTTTTGGTTCTATTTCTATGTGACACACATTGACAAAAGTATAAACTTACAAGAAATTACCTGTTGGCATCTTAATTTTTAAATAGTTTCATTCTTGGTCAAAAGTTTAGGGTTGAAAAACAGCACCTAAAATTAACAATTCAGGAAAAATTATCTTCTTTTGAGAGCATTATAAAATGTCAAATATTGTAACAGTAATATTCTTTTAAACGATGAAAATAATTAAGACATTTAAAGGCTAGGACAAAATTATTTGGTTAGAGCATCTATTTTTTTAGATACTTATCACATATCAATAAAAAAATCTGAACAGATAAAACTAAAAGATCAACAAGCAGTATAAATGCACCAGATACAAATCATTGCCTAAATAATATAATGTACTCTTAAATCTCTCTTTGAAGAAACATCTAATGTTTTACTTTTAATAAACATTGTTAAATTAGTAGTATACTATATGAGATTATATATGAAAGATATGAGTCAGTAAGTGAAACTGAATAACCTGAATTGACTTTTCAACTTTTTCATAAAGCCTATTTCTAATTTGACTTTAACAGAACAACTTTCTATTTTTCAGTTTATTAAAAATGGCCAAAAGACACACTACAGAAAAAACTGCATTTAAAAGGTCTGCATTTCTATAGAAACTTTAAAAATTTTATAAAAGTACTTTCAAATTTACTGTAGATTGCACTACATTTACCAATATACAAATGCCTTTTAAAAAATATCTGGCATCTAGCAAAGCAAAGTAGCTATATATGAAGTTATCTGCTGTAACAGAAACAAAGGAATTACAAAATACAGTTGAAAAGATGACAGATTTATACTTACATTATGATTACATGCTCTCAATTTCCTTTTATAAAAGAGACTCACTCCTGACTTAAGCAGAAAGACTTTGTAACAGAAATCTCAATCAACAACTTCCTATTAACACAGGTGTAATAATCAAGGCCTTCTCTCAAAGCCAGTCACTCTTTCTTAAACAGACAAGCAATGAGAGAGAGAAAGACAGAAGTTAAACCTATTTAATTTGAAATAATCACTGGCTCATCATATGAGTTTCTTTTTCTAAAGAAACAAGGCTTACCTCAATAAAAACTCACATTCATACAAACAATAAATTTTGTTGGATATGCAGCGCTTCAAAAGTTTTTGAACAATGCAGTCTGCAGCAGCTGTGCCTTGCCCTTTATAACACGTCAAAAATCTGATTTATATGGCTGCAGTGTGCAGTGTGGGCGCAGTGGAGACAAAGACCAAGGTGTGCACAGAGGTCAGGCTCCAGCCAAGGGAACCACCCCTTTCAGTCCACATGTTCAGAGTTGCAAATGGAGCAGAATTTTATTTAGAAAAGAAGTTGTACTAAAAGCTGCGCTCTCAAATCACTGTCCAATTCTTTAAGTTATAAAGTAAACCACATTCTTTAGACTGCTAATTTATCTCTGCATGTCTGAATAATTCCAAAGTGTTGTACAACTTTGTGAAGAAAAGGAATTTGAATATGGAGTTAGTGGACAAGTATTCCCTGGGGTTTTTTAAAAAAAGGAATTTCCTTACAAAACGCGTAACGTTTATACAAACGGTGATTTGAAGTACTTATAAAACTGAAAGAAGGTAATGTTTATAATACAGCATGTGTACAATGCCATGTGCAATATGAAGTGAATATAATCACTGAACATGACTAATACTGATGGCAATATAACCATCTGCAAACTATAACAAAGCTGTAATACATGCATTAAGGGAAGCTATGAGGTTTAAAAATCATAAATAACTTAAAATATTGACAAAAACTATAATTTTGTTTAAAATGAAGTGCGGGGTTCTTCAGCACGTAATTACCTAAAGTATGCCAACCATTCAGATGGTTATCTTTTCTAAAACCACAATTCAGACATGACTCCTTGTGTGATGTAAAACATGGAAGTGAGTACATTTGCTCTTTTAAGAAAATATTAAAATAATCTCATATAATTCATATTCTGAGAACAATTCTTTTCATTACTATTATCTTCTACATTCAAAGGCAATTTTTACATAGTTACTATCTTATACATACACACACATACATATATACACACACACATATATAAAATTTTGTTAGCTTACAGTGTTTCGATTTTAAAATGGTATTTTTATGAAAAATCAGTAACCTTTATTATTTGATTTGAACTATGGAACTATGATGCTGTCCACTAACATGAAAATTACTACTAAATTGTATGTGAGAGGTAATAATCTGTGACTTCATTCAGGATATTAAAGATGTATTTATTAGGAGACATACCATGGCAGTTGGTTTGGTATTAATAATTTTTCACACAATACAAATAAACTTAACCTTTGAGGTTACATGATTCTAAAGAAGACCTAATGTTTTTCAAGTTGGCTTTTCACTCTAAATAAAAGCCATGGTCTTTAAGAATAATTTATTTGTTCATGCATCTATCAACAAATATGTTGTAAGTGGCAGGCTCTTGTTAACAAATGATAGACACATGAACAAAAACAGGTAACTACAAAAATGTTGTAGGCTGACATATAAACCATATTTTGGCTTAAAATGATAATTGGGCTTAAAATGATAATTTCATGCAATTCAACCAAATATAGTCTCAAAGACACCTATTTATGTCATTATAATAACACACACAAAAACAAAGCTTAACTATTAAGGAGAATCAGAGAAAGATTCCAAGAGGGAGTTTTATTTGTGCTGAGCCTTGAAGAATGAGTAAGAGTTTGTAAACAGAGATGGATGAACATTCTAGACAGAGGTGACAGCATGTTCAAAGGCACAGAAGAAATAAAATCCTAATGTATTCAGATAACTGCAGGTAGATTACAGGTCAGGATGTGTGCAGAGTATGTGTGTGGAGTGTGCATGAGTTCGTAAGAGGATAGGATGGTGGGGGAAGGAGTGGTAAGAATAGATCTTGTAAAATAACCAGGGTTCAAATAGTGACTCTATCTGAAAGGCAATAGGGATACTTTGAAAGGTTTTTAGCAAAGAAGTGGCATGATCACATCTACATTTTAGAAAATTCATTTTGATAGTGGTGTGGAAAATAGATTGCAACCTGCCGAGGAACTGGTATCAGAGAAAACTATTTGGAGGACATTTTAATAATCAAGAATAGTGAAGAAATAAAGCAATGGGAATGAGGATAAAGGAGAGAACTAAAGATATACTTAATAGGTACACCCACAGAATGGGAGAGCAGGGCACAAAAGAAAGAAAAATCAAGGCTAACTTTCAAGTATCCATTAGAGAAATGTATATTAAACCCACAATGAGATACCATTTCACACCCTACTAGAATGGCTATAATAAAAATGACAGACAATAACAAAGAGAAACTAGACCTCTCATACATTGCTGGTGGGACTAAAATGGTACAGTCACTTTGCAAAATAGTCTGAAAGTTTCTTAAAAAGTTAAACATAAATTTGCCATAAATGTATCCAAGAGATATGGAAATATGGGTCCACACAAAGATAGGAGTGTAATGCTTAGAACATTATACATAATGCCCCAAGCTAGAAAACAACCCAAATGTCCATCAACTGATGAATAGCTAAACAAAATGTGGGTCAACCAGACAATGGAATCCTACTCAGCAGTAAAAAGGAATGAAGTATTGGTACATGTTACAACATGAATTAACTTCAAAAACATGCTAAGTGGGGGGAGACCTTCAAGATGGCGGAGGAGTAAGATGTGGAGATCACCTTCCTCCCCACAAATACATCAGAAATACATCTACATGTGGAACAACTCCTACAGAACACCTACTGAATGCTGGCAGAAGACTTCAGATTTCCCAAAAGGCAAGAAACTCCCCACGTACCTGGGTAGGGCAAAAGAAAAAAGAAAAAACAGAGACAAAAGAATAGGGACAGGACCTGCACCTCTGGGAGGGAGCTGTAAAGGAGGAAAAGTTTCCACTCACTAGGAAGTCCCTATACTGGCAGAGATGGGGGTTGGCGGGAGGGAAGCTTCGGAGCCACAGAGGAGAGCGCAGCAACAGGGGTGCAGAGGGCAAAGCGGAGAGATTCCCGCACAGGGGATCGGTGCCGACCAGCACTCACCAACCTGAGAGGCTTGTTGGCTCACCTGCCGGGACGGGTCAGGGCTGGGAGCTGAGGCTTCGGCTTCGGAGTTCAGATCCCAGGGAGAGGACTGGGGTTGGGTGCATGAACACAGCCTGAAGGAGGCTAGTGCACCACAGCTAGCCGGGAGGGAGTCCGGGAAAAAGTCTGGAACTGCCTAAGAGGCAAGAGACCATTGTTTCAGTGTGCGCAAGGAGAGGGGACAGAGCACTGCCTAAACGAGCTTCAGAGATGGGCGTGAGCCACGGTTATTAGCGTGGACACCAGAGACGGGCATGAAACGCTAAGGCTGCTGCTGCAGCAACCAAGAAGCCTGTGTGCAAGCACAGGTCACTATCCACACCTCCCCTCCTGGGAGCCTGTGCAGCCTGCCACTGCCAGGGTCCTGTGATCCAGGGACTACTTCCCTGGGAGAACATGGCATGCCTCAGGCTGGTGCAATGTCACACTGGCCTCTGCCGTGGCAGGCTCACCTCGCATTCCGTACTCCTCCCTCCACCCCGGCTTGAGTGAGCCAGAGCCCCCTAATCAGCTGCTCCTTTAACCCCGTCCTGTCTGAGCGAAGAACAGACGCCCTCCAGCGACCTGCACGCAGAGGCGGGGCCACATCCAAAGCTGAACACCAGGAGTTGAGCGGACAAAGACAAGAAAGGGAAATTTCTCCGTGCAGCCTCAGGAGCAGGGGATTAAATCTCCACAATCAACTTCCTGTACCCTGCATCTCTGGAATACCTGAATAGACAACGAATCATCCCAAAACTGAGGTGGTGGACTGTGTGTGATTTTGTCTGTATAGCTTTGCTTTTACCATTTGTCCTAGATTTCTGTCTGTCCTTTTTTTTTTTTGGTATAGTTTTTAGCGCTTGTTATCATTGGTGGACTTGTTTTTTGGTTTGGTTGCTCTCTTCTTTCTTTCTTTTTTTTTAAATTACTTTTTAATTATTTACTTTTAACGATTTTTTAAATAACCTTATTTTATTTTATTTTTCTTTCTTCCTTTT